CGGTAGGTGGCTCTTCGACGAGCACTTCCGACAGCTTGGTCCGAAGCTGGTGGACACTGCCTCCGCCCTAGGGCGACTTTTGCCCAATTTGGGCGGGGCCAGTGTTCCCACGAGGCGGCTGTACGCGGGGGTTGTCCGATCCATGGCGCTTTATGGTGCACCGGTGTGGGTGGCGGCTCTGACCGCCCCGAATAGGGCGCGCCTCTGGCGCCCCCAGAGGATATTGGCGGTCAGAGCCATACGCGGATACCGCACGGTGTCCACCGAGGCGGCTTGCGCCTTGGCCGGAACACCCCCGTGGGATTTGGAGGCGGAGGTGCTCGCCGAAGTCTATCGGCGAGTGGCTGACTTCCGGGCGGAGAGCGGATTTCGCCCTCCGCCGGAAGACGTGCGCAAGTGGCGCGAAGCCGCTCGCCGAGCCACCATGGTCAGATGGTCGTTCCGGCTGGAGACTCCACGCGCTGGCTTCGCCGCCGTGGAGGCTCTCCAGCCGGTCATCGCCGAGTGGGCGGGGCGGCAGCACGGGACCCTTTCCTTCCGGCTGACGCAGGTGCTTTCCGGGCACGGTTGCTTCGGAAAGTACCTGTACTCGGTCGCTAGGAGGGAATCGAGTCCCGCCTGCCACCACTGCGACTGCAGTGAGGATTCGGCCCAGCACAAGCTGGCGGTTTGCCTCGCATGGGCGACGCAGCGCCGGGCCCTCACTGCAGTCATCGGAGCAGATCTCTCGCTACCGGCCGTAATTCGCTCCATGGCCGGTAGCGACAGTTGTTTTACCACGGTCGCAACCTTCTGCGAGGAGGTAATCTCGCAGAAGGAGGCGGCGGAGAAGGCCCGGGAGGACTACCTCTTACCTCTTACCTCTTACCTGGACTTACCTGCGCCTCATGCCGCCCTGAGTGTGGCCGCGGGTGGACGGGATGGGTTCTCCCCTCCACCCGCATTAGTTGGCCAGCCGCGAGGGAGCGGCGTCCGCGTGTGCCGGACGCCGCCTAAAGAGAGGGTCCACTGAGACGGAGCCCGCGCCAGGAGCGGGCCGGCGCTGGGAGGGGTCCAGAAGGAGATAGCTACCTGGACCCTTCCTAAACTGGAAGCGCAAAGAGGGCACACCGTGTGGTTTTAGTCGGTTCGAGTCCGACACACCGCCCCGCCGAACGAGAGCCCCGGCGGGGTGACGGTCCGAGGGGATTTCCACACGTAAAAAAAAAAAAAGGTCAACAGAGTCCGCGCTATTTCAATAATCATCTACGTAGTGCTTTTTCCGTATAGCTTCAACCGCGACAGGATATGTGTCTTTAAACTCTTCCGCATTTTTATTTAAGACATAAATTGCTGAAGTCGGGGAGGAGGCTGCACCGAAGATCATTGAGGTCATGACGTAAATCGAAGGTTCCTTAACTCGATCTTGACCGCGCCATAAAAACAGTTGAGCACCTTGATCCGCCTCGAAAATTTTAATTCGCAAAAACATGTCCGCGATGTCAGCAGTGAAAGCTATACGGCCTGTTCTAAATTTAATTAGGGTACCTAGCAAAGAATTCATTAAGTCGGGCCCGCTGAGTAAATTATTGTTCAAAGATGTACCTTGGTACGTGGCGGCAGCATCAAATACTAAACGCAACTTGCCCGGCTTATTAGGGTTTAGGACTCCAAAGTGAGGTAAATACCACGCGGGACTTGCCCTAACGCCCTCAGCTTCACGCGCGTAACCAGAAGCTAATAAGCGGTCTACCTGTTTCGTATAGGCGTCCGCAAAACAGGGGTCACGATCCATTTTTCTTTCTATCCCGGCTAGGCGTTTACGCGCATATTTATAATTATCGGGCAACTCTACATTATTACGAGACCATAGTAAGCCTACTTCCCATTGGGGGACGTTATCTGACACGCGGCGACATGTTTTACCTAGTATTTGTAACGCCCGTTCCGAATTACAATTTTTACGCAGAGCTTGTGTAATACCAATTGCTTCTAGTTCAAATTGACTTTTAACTAACTCGTGTAAATCGTCGTGTGGCGTGGACATGCAATTAGCGAAGTCGAGTTCACTACCATCAAACCCCCCACCTAGCGGGCCATGGACGCCCAAACCTAGGCTAGTAAGAGAAGCAACTGGTCTACCAGATTTACCTTGACGAATCTCCCTTCCAACTATGAGCTTCCAGTTGTCCTGCCCCAACAACAACATAGGCTTCGCGTCCCTCATCTCGCTGCAATCCAGGTCCCGCAGGTGTGCGTTGTCTTCGAGCACTCGCGCCGGTAACGCTTGAGACGGCAAGTTTACATTACGCAGAGTACGCACTGCAATGTCATGACTCACTCCGTTCGGTCCGCGCACTACGATCTTTATATATCGTGAGTTGTTGTCGGTCACATAATGGCCGCGTGCAGTTATCAATTTAAGAGGCACTATTGGCCCGTCCACATCACTCGCGAATTTATCGTCCAAGATTGAAACGGACGCCCCGTCATCTAATAAAGCGTACGATGATCGTTCAACACCAGAACTAGTAACTATCGTCACCGGTAACACTTTCAATAAAGCACGCGCACGATGCTCACCAACGTTCGTAATAGTTTCGTATTTAACCGACAGTGAATCCCTGAGCGCAGATGGTACAGTCGGCGGTGGCACATTTGGCTGTGGCACTACCTCAGGCGGCGACGCGTTCTCGGTTCTTTTATGCAGTAACACGTGGTGTGACCAGTTACATTCACTGCAACGTTTAGCACGACAATACCTGCTCGAATGACTCTTCGCAATGCACTTAAAACATAGTTTGTTTCGTTTCACTAAATCCCAACGTTCATCAACAGTCATATTTTTAAAGTCACTACACTGCGTTAATTCGTGCTCCGCTTTACGTTGAACACAAACGACGTTATTGTTTTTACTCTCGGCACTGAATTTACCACTGACATTAGCACGACTTTCATTAGCGTCGTTCAAGCTTATCGGTGCATAATATGACGACGCACGTGTCAACTGACTGAGAAAGTCCAATAAAATGTATAAATTTGGAGACACTCTTAAATCAACACTACTATTATCCAAACGCATCGCGAATTGCCCGTACTACGCGCGTTGGTATGGTGTTAATTTACCTATTAGTTCGTTGACTAATTGCGGGTTATTTAAATAACCGTCGGCCCGTATACTTTGTAACACAGACACACAATTACGTACTGTAGTCGTGAATTTGCGTATTGCGAGTCCATCTTCGGAGACCTTAGGTAAATCACGCACTTTCCAAATGGCACACTCTAACAGGCGAATAGGATGTCCGAACTCGTCTTCGAGGGCTTTTATGACCTCCTCGGGATCAGAAGAAGTTCTCAACAGGTCGCGGACGGCAGCTTTCGCTTCACCAACGAGCGCCACCCGAAGGCGGGCCATGTTCTCAAATGGTTGGAAATTATGGTACTACGGTAGGCTTTCTCAAAACTGAGCCAATCTGCAACGTTACCATCGAATGAAGGTATCTCGTGTACCTGTCGTGACATACTTCGCGTCTGTCCTAGCTTGCTGATGGCCTCCGCCAGCCGATCAATAATAATAATAATAATAATAATATACTTTATTCAAAACCTTGTTACATTTTCACAATAATTATACGATAATGGCTACAGTAGTATAAACTGTGTCGTAGCCATTAACGCCCACATCCGAATCCAACAGTACAAGTACTTACAACTAAATTTACAATTTTTACAATGAGTAATTAAATGTGTTTTGGTACCTATCTTGTGTAAATGGTGTTTGAGTGTATGTTAAGTGTAGGCGAGTGTATGTCTGTGTACGTGTGATGAGTGTAAGGTGTATACGTTTTCATGCTATGATGTCTTCAGACTGACTGTACGTTAAGGAAAGAAGCCACACTATCAATTTGTGCTTACATTTTGTATAGGTTAGGGGATATATATTTAGCAACCTATTAACCCTATTATATAGTTTGGGGCTAAGAAAGTAAAACTGCCGGGATGCCAGAGCAGTTCTATGTGGTATACTAAAATGTACTCTGTCGGATCTACGTGTATTTTTAATAAAATTAATGTCATACGGGGAGGCAGTATGCTTACGCAGAATAGCCCGCAGTATATACAATTGCCGCACCGTTAGTACCTAACAGATACTGTAAAGCTCAGACGTATGGAATCTTTTAGGCTTACCAGTCATCACCTTAAGTATACATCTCTGAGCTCTCTCCAAACGAACCATATATGCTTTGCAAGCACCACCCCAGGACTTAATGCAATAACCGATTATAGATTGAACTAGCGCATAGTAGACCATCTTCATGGTGTTAAGATCAGTAGCATTTCTCAGCTTTTTAAAAATATACAACAACTTTCTAACCCTTGTAACAATTTGTTCAATCTGAAAATTCCAAGTAAGATTACTGTCGACTATTACCCCAAGATATTTAATGCAGTTACAACGAACTATAGATGGACAACTGCAGTTGTAGGTGTTAAGGGAGCTACATATGTGTGCCTTGATTTCGAATGAGGGTGGCGGTTGGGAAGATGCATTTGGGGAAAAAGTCATGAACCTGGTTTTTTCTAGGTTAAGGGTGAGTAAGTTTATTTCGAGCCATTGCATTACCAAGTTCAAAGCGATTTCAGCATTACCACGTGCAGAGTTCCAGGTAGGTCCATCCACTAGCAGGACAGTATCGTCGGCAAAGGAAACAATTCTACAGTTTTTGACTTTAAGGCAGCAAAGCTCATTCACATAAATAAGAAACAGAGTGGGACCGATTACACTTCCCTGGGGAACCCCATAGGTCTGTGGAACCTCAGAGCTAGTGATATTATCTATTACTACACTTTGTGTGCGGTCTCTGAGGTAGCTGGCAAAAATCTCAAGAGCCAAACCACGGATCCCAAGTGATTCCATCTTGTGTAGAAGGAGGGGGATAGAGACAGTGTCGAATGCCCTGGATAAGTCAAGGAATAAGCCAATGGTTTTTGTATTTTTATCAATATTATATTATATATTATATAGTTTGAAACTGCCTATTTGGTGATGCTTGGGGTGGTGGCTGCGATGACGTGGGTTCGAGCGCACGTGTTGCAGGCAACCACGTGTGGACGCCAGGCGCAGGGCGCTTGGACGCGCGGGGGCCGGCAGGCGCGTCGTTAAGCCAACTCGTAGCACGTGGTGAATTCTCACCGCTTGCGACGCTCGCCGACGCATTTTTCTGTTCTTCCTGGGGCCCACGTGTCGGGGTGGCAGGTAACCACGTGGTGCCGTGGTGCGCAGGGCGCTTGAACGCGCGGGGGCCGGCAGGCGCGTCGTTAAGCCAGCTCGTAGCACGTGGTGAATTCTCACCGCTTGCGACGCTCGCCGGCGCATTGTTCTCTTCGTCTTCCTTTGCTGCTAGTTCCGCCATGTCGAGTGCTAGCTTCTTCTTTATTAAGGTTTCCTTTACCTTAGCCATCTCGACCTCCGCCTCATATTCGACACGCATTCTTAGTGCTTCGCGGCTTGCCCGGCTAAGTCTTGTCGACGCGTGGCTAACACTGCACGGCGCGCGCACTGTGTGCGCTGAAACCGATGTCACCTCCAATGGCGGTAATTCACCGTGGTCACTATGACCACCCACCACGGAGCTCCTGGCAGGCTGCTGATGCGTCGTTGGCTGTACACTGGAGAACGACGAAGCACGCAATTCCGAATCTTGACCGATCGTATTCTCCATAGCTCTTGTTGCACTCCGTGTCTGTCGCATTGTACTGTTGTAACTCATTGCTACTTACTCTATCCGGCTAGAAGGACCAGTTTTGTAAGTGAGATGCCGGGTTGCTAATCAATAAGTAGCAGAGAAACGCACAGACACGGGAATATTGACTATTTAATCACATTATTACTACTACAAGAACTACACTACGAGAAGGCTAGCTATGGACTGCCTGGCGGGGAGGCTAACTATCGACTGCCTGGAGGACTGGTGCAACGTGCATTTCAGGCCACGTGCAACAGTCCCCCCGCTATCCTTTCCCCGCGCCCATGCAGAAACGCGGCGCATACACAATAAAACAACAATAAGGGTACAAAACAATACTAAAAGATACAGTCTTACCATAACCCAAGCCGTGCTCCTTAACAATAACCCAAGCCGTGCTCCTTAACAGCTCCATTTATCTCCCGATAAGCAGGCGTACCCTGCTTTCGTTTAAAATCAAAGTAACGACGGTATAAAATACCTTCGGGCCAGAAATCGTCTTTCAAAAATAATTCTAGCTTTTGCTTTGGTACAAGTCCTTTATAGTCCTTACTTAATTTCATGTTTATTTTATCAATCTTTATATCTAAGTTAGTCTTTTGCAGTAAATAAGCTTTGATGTTACTTTCAGTTGTCTCTTTAGACACATTGTACACTATATTGGCAGTTTATTATCCGCTGCCTTAAAATTACTACAGTAGAACTCCAATTATCCGAATTAATGGGGACCGGGACCCATTCGGATAATCAAATATTCGGATAATCGGATTTTTTTAAAAAAAAATGCCATTGGAGAGAATAAAAGCTACGTTTTGATATTGCACTATTTTTTTATTGAATTAAATGAAAGAAACATGAAATTTTCACATGTTTTAAATATAAATAAAATGTACTTATGTACAAGTTTAGAAATAAAAATCATTGTTTTTTAAACATCTCCGTCAATGTAAGCTGTTTTGCGGTCTTCAACCGTTTTCGGGCAGACAGGTCACGCATTCGCTTGACGGTGAGCAGTTGCAAGTGGTCACACTCGGGCTGACGCTCCATCCACTTCAAAGCAGTCTCGAGGCCGGCAAATGCTTCACTAGCTGATGGTCCAGCGTCTACTTCAACATCAGCAGAAAGTTCTTCTTCCACTTCCACTTCAACATCTTCTCTCACACTTACAACAATTTCATCGTCATTGAGAATTTGAAAACCAGGGTCAGACGTGTCACAAGCCATCCACTCTCCTACATCTTCAGCACTTACTTCTGTACAACCAGGAATTTTTACAATCATTTTTCTTATTTCCTCTAGTGACAACGCATCTTTATCATCATCATCCTCTCCATATTCTTGTTTCTCATTTTCTTCAGATTCTTTTTTTTTGTTCTTCTCAGACGGTAGGCCTTTCAGTTTATTCCACGCACGTCTTAGCGTCACTGCCGTAACCAAACTCCAAGCTTCCGCTACCATGTAACAGCAGTCCTTTAAATTTATTTTGCTATGATTTGCCAAAACCAATTCTTCATCTTCAGCACCTTCGATCAGCAGTTTTCTCAGCAGTTGCCTTCTGTAATGGCGCTTCATTGTTTCAATAACAGACTGGTCCATGGGTTGCAGCAAACTTGTAACATTGGGAGGCAAAAACGTCGTTTTAAACTGCCCATTCTCTCTTTCCAACAGTTCTGCTGTAGGATGAGTGGGTGCGTTATCAACAATTAAAAGCACCTTACTGCCTTCTTTTCCCACCGATTTTTGGTGTTTTTTCACTTCAGGAATAAACACTTCATCATACCATTCGGTAAACAAAGCTGCAGTCATCCAGGCCTTGGGTTGACTTTTGTAGAAGAGTGGAAGTTTTTTTACGTTTTTAAATGCTCTTGAATTTCTTGATTTTCCTATCAAAAGAAGTGGCAGTTTATGATTTCCAGTGGAGTTGGCACAGTTAAGCACTGTAACACGTTCTTTACTGACCTTATGTCCAGGGGCACTAGATTCCCTTTTAGAAGCCAAAGTGGTTTTTGGTAATGCTTTCCAAACAAGGCCAGTTTCATCGGCATTATAAACAAACATAGGATTCTGATGCAGTTTTAAATTTTTCAATAAAATTTTCAGCAGCTGCAGAGTCTGCTGAAAGCTTCTCACCAGCCAAATCTAACTCGCGTACACCATGCCTGAATTTAAAATTCCTTAGCCAGCCGTTACTAGCCTTAAAAGATGAATAACCAAGCTTTTCTGCTAAGATTTTGGCTTTTTCACAAAGGATTGGACCTGAAATCGGATTTCCCATAGAACGTTGCTGCAAAAACCATTTAAACACGGCATCTTCCAAATTTTTGTTGGTTGCTGTCTTCATTGTTTTCCTGGAGGAACTTCCATCTTCATTTTCAAGCACCGAAACAAAGTTTAAAAGTGTTGACTTACTGTTTTTAATGTCAGAAATTGTTGCTTGTCCAACACCATAAATCTCAGACAACTTCTTACCCGTTACACCTTTATCGAATTGCTCTATAATTTTCAGTTTGTCCGCTAACGATAGCACAACACGTTTTCTTTTCGAAGCCATGGTATAAAAACAATACAGTATTGTACACGCACAAACAAAAGTAAGCCGTAGCGAAAGAGTAGCGTCCTCGAGCAAGGTCAATAGCACACTGGCTAATCAAAACAAACAATGACAGGTGCGCCGTGACTGCAATGCGCCGGAACTTGTCTTAACTTGCCGTTGTACCTACACACGCGGGGGGAAGTCAGTGTAGGCACAACGGCAAGTTAAGACAAGTCAAGTCAAGACTTGACGCGCAAACACTGGCTTCGCGGGGGGAAGAATAATAGCGCACTTAGACTTTTTTTGGACAATTTTTTGTGATTCGGATAATCGGCGATTCGGATAGTCGGAGTTCGGATAATTGGAGTTCTACTGTATTTAAGTCGAGAATTGCTTTTCCTGTACTTCCTACAAAACGATTTCTCAGTCTCCTTTTTTTTTGAACCAAGGTCCACTCCTCTTGGACAGTCCTGGACTGTTTCTTCGGCTGTCCGTTCTGCACAATCGCAGAGAACGTCTTTTTACTGTCGTTACTAACACACGGGGAAGCCGACGGCAGGGGCGGTGACGGTGGCGGAGGGTCGCTGTTAAACGTACAGCTGGCGACAGATGCAGGTACCGGGGCATAACGAATTATCACTTCGCCAGTCGGCGAGCGATCAGCTGTTTTCTCTTGGCTGACAGGCACCGTTCGGGTAGTAAATACGCGTGGAGATTTAACTTTACGCCTTTTTGACGACAAATTACGCTGTTTCGAGATGGGTGACAGTAGCTTGGGTTTCTGTGGATGTATGCATACCACAAACAGGCGATAGCCCCATGGGCCCACTTTCGTACTCATAGTCGGTGCGTAGACCGGCGTCCCGTTTTGCAATTAAATTTCTTGGGAAGTTGTTGACAATTGAGGCATTTTTAAGTGCTTCAATCTCCGCCTGCTGGTTACTGGCAGCTGGTTTACTGGCGCGTACTCAGTGGAGATACGATTTAATTCACTCCGAAACCACACCAGGTCCTTTAAAATACGGGTCACGTCAACATGATCGAAAAGAACTGGGGGTAGGAATAAAAATAAAAAAATAGGAATGTCCTCAGGATTCGTTTCCTTTAATAAGCAAACTATATCATCAATGTCACGTACTGCCTTTCCTTGTCTTCTTCTTGCCTTCTTTGGTTATGTTGTTGATATAGAATCAAACAACAAATTTTTAGCATCTAAAATTTCACTTTCAGCAAAGGCACTAACACAAATGCGGGTAATACTTTGTTCATCCATCACGTCTAACTTATTACAAATGAAAGCTAATACTTCATTTATAACTACGTTGCAATTAGAACACTTCACAATTTGAGAAGTCATTGTTCACAACAAATCTTTTCACGGCGAGCAGGCGACCGAACACGTATAATATCTGCCGTTTCTATATATGTGACATATGAAAATAATGTACTATTTGATTGCCTAATACTCATGTTATAATTTACTTGCATGCGAAAATGTGATTATTCATCAATCATCATCATCATCAACAGCCTTTAATAGTCCACTGCTGGACATAAGCCTCTCCTTACACTAGTCGCCGCATCGAGGCCTCCAAGTTGTTAAGGAAGACCTCGAAGTCGTTCAAACTCCGGTTGGGGGAGAAATATACACCATAAATGGTGATTCCCCCCCAATCGGCTTCAACATATCCAGTACCCTTGTCTCTTAGCGACAAGGGCGGGGAATGAGCCGCCGTGGAGCCGACGACTGCCACGGAGCCGTCCCGGTCACCCATCCAGTTTGGACGGGGAGGGACAAAATAGGGCTCCGCGACTACGGCAACACCTATCGACCACTGTGCCATGGTTTGCAGGAAGAGATCCTGCGCCGCGGCACAGTGGTTCAGATTCGTCTGGACCAGGAGGTTGGAGACTTGATCCATTACTGGATCGTCTCTACAACCTCCTCCATGGGCGTCGGCGTCGACGCAATATTGACGTCGGGGGTAGCCTGGGTCGGCAGGCTAGACCCCGGCGTTTGCCGAGAAGCGCGGGGAGGCTTGCAGCCCCCCTGCCCCATCTGGTGATTGGCGGGCTTTTTAGCCGCCGCACACACTGGGCAGTGAGGGGCGGCAGAGCACTCTGCCGCCTTGTGCCCGGGTTGACCGCAGCGGAAACATAAACCGCTGCAGTCAAAGCAAGCTCTCGCACTTGGTGCGAGTGTGTCCCGCGGCTAGGCACTTGAAGCACCTCATCGGCCTCGCGGCCAGAACCGTGATTCTGGCATTCACGAAGCCGACGAGCATGCTTCCGGCGTCGCCCAACGCTTTGGCCGACGCCACGGGACAACTCACCCACACCGCACCGAGGCCTCCCGGACCCGGACGGACGGTGCCGACTCTGATGGTGTCCGCGGTGCACCCAGTCTTCTCCATGACTGCATCGCGGACATCCTCCGACGTGATGGAGTCGTCCAGGCCCGAGATGCGCAGTTCTGCGCATTTGGTGGGCCTGGCGATCTTAACACCGTCCGTGGCTGGCGAAAATTCCCCGCAACTTCTCGGCGAATTTGTCGGCCGTCGCCGCGCCTTCAGCCCCAGGGAACTCGAAGACCCGAGCTCCCGTCTGGGCGCGGCGCAGCCTCATCCCCGCCTCCCCGAACTCAGTGGCGAGACCGGGCCGGGCCCCCTTGAAGAGGGCCGCATACGTGAGCCCGCCACTGGCCGCCTCCGGCGACAGCGTCACTACTACAGCCGCGGTTTTGGGCGGCTGCAGCTTCCGCGGCCTCTTTTTTGAGGCCGTTGCCACCGGTGGCGAAGGCTGGGCTTGGGCTGCTTTCTGAGCAGCCCTTCTAGCCCGCCTTCGGGACTTCTTTGAGCCCCTCGCCTCCTGCCAACCCTCGTTGGAGGGGGCAGGTGCGGAGGGGCCCGGCAGGGATGTCGGAGCGGGGAGCGGAGGGAAAGCCACTCCGCTCCTCTTCGCCGCTTTAGTCTGGGCCGGCGCCTTGGCCGGTGCCTGGGCCGGCGCCTTGGCCGGTGCCTGGGCCGGCGCCTTGACTGGCGCCTGGGCCGGTGCCTTGGCCCCTCTCCTCTGCCCCTGGGGAGCCGGTGGAGTCGGGGCCGACGCCGCCGCCGCGTAGGACACGCGGCCTCCCACTACGGGGAGCGCAGTCGGAGCAGCGGCCTTAGGCCGCTGCGACGACGCGAGCGGGGGGCGCACGACCGGCGCAGGGGGCAGTCTCGCCTCCAGGCCGGCCAGACGACCGTCCAGCATACGCCCAACTGCGTCAAGAATTTGACGCAGTTGGGCGTCAGGTACCCCTTCGTTGGTGGTAGGGGCAGGCTGGGACGTGGACGGGGCCTCCCGCTCGGGGAGGTTCGTCTGGAAGCGGGCGAACTGAGCGCTCAGCTCGTTCACCCGCTCCGTCAGCCTCTCGTTGGCGGCCTGCAGGCGAGACATCTCGCCTGTCAGGTCCTCCACGACCTCCGACACAGCGGAGGAGGAGTCCTTAAGGGCCCTCACAAAGGAGCCCTTAAGGTTCACGGACTTGGTGGCCACCTTTTTAATAATGTCCACCGCCGCTCTTGCCCTCTCCTGTACAGACACGGGAGCCCGGGAGGCATCTCCCTCCGTCGGCTCCCGAATCCTAAGCAGGAGATCTGCGATCTCCTCCTCCGCTACGGCTTCTCCTTCCGCTCGGACCCGCCTGTATGACTCCGCCCCAGAGAAGGCGGAGCCCGACGGGATGGGGACAGGGGCACGCGACCTCGCGATCGGCGTCCGTGACCGTCCTCGCTGGCTGCCGGCCACCTTAGGTGGCAGCATGTCCTGCGAGGGGTCAACACCCTCCTCTCCAGAGCGTCCACGCTTGCGGCTCCCAGTGTCACGGAGTTCAGCCTCAATAGCGTCCAGTGCGTCAATAGTCACACTGGAGCCACCGTCTGCTGAAGCAACCGACCTGGAGCGAAGACGCTCCAGTCTGACTACTGGGAGCCCCACCGAGATAGGTGTTCTCGACACCACCTCGCCTTCAGTGGACGCCGAATCCACTCCACCACTCCTCCTCTTTGTCTCCTCTTCCCTTCCGACTGTCTCGTTGTCCATTTGGCTTGCCGTTTTCGTTGTTTTTCCCAATCCTTTTCCTTTTATTTTAATTGCACTTTCCATGTTATACCCACGAGTGGGGGAGAACTAAAGGTCCACCCGGGCAGAGATCCCCCAATACCCGGGTAAGCGTAAATTTATGCCCAACCGAGGGGTCCGCAAGTGCCCCGGCTGGGAGTGCGCTTACGACTGAACTACCCATCAGCCATGCATCCCCTGGCCACGCACCAGAACACGGGATTCGGGGCATTTTTTAGAGAGGTTTACATCCTCGCGGTCCGGGCGGTTAAGCCAAGACCCTCGTCCCCGATCAGAGCCGCGAGACTTGACCACAGCGCTCTTCTCGGGATTACGATATGCCGACGGTGACAGGGAGACTACGTCCCCCTGCCTGCTCGGTGGTAGTGTCAGTACACGCCGAGCCCGTCCTCCTTTCTCCACCGCTAACAGCGGAGAAACTGGCCCCTATAGGGCCCCACCTTCTGGTTTTTTACCGAGGTTTCCTCCTCCATGCTCCGAAGAGCGAAGAGCCAGCAGGGCAACCGGCAGACACGCCCACCCTGCTGGACCAGGCCTTGCCCGAGAGCCGATGAACGGCTACCTCTTCTGCTAGAATATTAGCCGCTGGCGATAATCCTCTCCTCCAAGAGGACAAGGAGGAAACAGTGCCATCGCCAGCGTTTCCAGGGTGCACCACGGGGAGGTTTTCTAGCCTAGCACCCCAACCTAACCTAACCTAACCTTTTTTTTTTTTTTTTTTTTTTTTACGTGTGGAAATCCCCTCGGACCGTCACCCCGCCGGGGCTCTCGTTCGGCGGGGCGGTGTGTCGGACTCGAACCGACTAAAACCACACGGTGTGCCCTCTTTGCGCTTCCAGTTTAGGAGGGGTCCAGGTAGCTATCTCCTTCTGGACCCCTCCCAGCGCCGGCCCGCTCCTGATGCGGGCTCCGTCTCAGTGGACCCTCTCTTTAGGCGGCGTCCGGCACACGCGGACGCCGCCCCCTCGCGGCTGGCCAACTAATGCGGGTGGAGGGGAGAACCCATCCCGTCCACCCGCGGCCACACTCAGGGCGGCATGAGGCGCAGGTGAGCGCGCCTCCGCCGCCCGGTTCGCCGGCGGCGGATCAGGTCCGAGTGGAGGTCGTCCTCCCGGGCCTTCTCCGCCGCCTCCTTCTGCGAGATTACCTCCTCGCAGAAGGTTGCGACCGCGGTAAAACAACTGTCGCTACCGGCCATGGAGCGAATTACGGCCGGTAGCGAGAGATCTGCTCCGATGACTGCAGTGAGGGCCCGGCGCTGCGTCGCCCATGCGGGGCAACCGCCAGCGTGTGCTGGGCCGAATCCTCACCGCAGTCGCAGTGGTGGCAGGCGGGACTCGATTCCCTCCTAGCGACCGAGTACAGGTACTTTCCGAAGCAACCGTGCCCGGAAAGCACCTGCGTCAGCCGGAAGGAAAGGGTCCCGTGCTGCCGCCCTGCCCACTCGGCGATGACCGGCTGGAGAGCCTCCACGGCGGCGAAGCCAGCGCGTGGAGTCTCCAGCCGGAACGACCATCTCACCATTTGTGGCTCGGCGAGCGGCTTCGCGCCACTCGCGCACGTCTTCGGGCGGAGGGCGAAATCCGCTCTCCGCCCGGAAGTCAGCCACTCGCCGATAAACTTCGGCGAGCACTTCCGCCTCCAAATCCCACGGGGGTGTTCCGGCCAAGGCGCAAGCCGCCTCGGTGGACACCGTGCGGTATCCGCGTATGGCTCTGA